ATAGACAACAGTGATAAATACCCCCCTCCCTTCAAAATACGCAAAAATACTCACCAGTTTCCTAGGTGTTCAAAAGCACACAGCATTTCAAAGCTCATATCCTCATATTTCGTGTTCCTTTCAATTTTTAGTGGCTTATCCGATAACATTAACGGATATGTTTATTCACAAAGGATCACCCCTAAAAACAGTCGTGAAGCCCACAGCCATTTTGAAAAGTGATGCCTACACTCCATAGCACAATAGACCGTTTTAGGGCACTGATTTCATCCAAAATTCACTCGGACACGAGCTGACATTCCTATGGCTAGCCTTCACCTTTCTTCCCTACAAATCATCAAGTTCAAGGTCCACAAAATGCTCAAATGACAGAGAATTTGAAGCCTACAAATTGCTATTCGGCAGGCGCAGGCAATTTTGAGCCTATTTACTGGCCTGCAACACTTTGCACAGCTCTGATGGCAATAGCTGAACACTGCCCTCACTAGACACTGAAATGTATGTACATGTAACACCATTCGTCGACTAGTTTTCATAGTGTAAAAGTGCCTGTCAGAACCGCCAATCAAAATGTACCAACCCTGCGTTTGTCTTCTTTACGGAAATGAAATCATCAAAAAATGATAACCTGGATGAAAAAAAATTGGAGAAAATATATGTATAAAACAATGGTAGAATTTCGATTCAAATTTCTGTTTTTATCACAGAAAGTTTTGTTTAAAATAGGTTAATAATGGAAAGAATGGAAATCATTTGTTTTTCACTGCCATGACTGCCATACTGAAATTTGGGTTAAAGATGGCTGCCAAGTATGTATATCGCTTAGGCCTATAAGAAGATATGATGCTATCGTACAGGCAAATACCTATTGTCACTGTGCATGGAGGGATCATCCCTCCATGTTGTTCCCAGAGTTTGGAACATCTCATACTGCAACCTCTTATGTTGTAGCAGTGTAAGACTGCTAGGTGACCGAAATGTCATATTTATTCTTGGAGGGATTTGAGTGCTGCCGGTCATTGTGTCGCCTGGGCAGTCTAACAGCGTGATCAGTTTTGATCTAACGGCGCAGTTCAACAGTCTGTTGAAACTAATCTTTGAAACGAACTCGGTTTTACGCGCCGAATTTTACACCATTTTTGTCAATCAAGTTCAAACGTCCAAAACAAGGTTGTTGGTTCGTTTGAAGTGTACATGCATAACCGCAGCCTGTTTCCGTTCGCATTTTAGTGACCGCATGCCGTGCGCAGTCGCAACTGAACGAAACAAAAGCAAGTGTGCACAGCCCAGTTTTTCTGTTTCCATGTTGACTTGATCGTTTGCTGGGTTGACTAAACCGGTCGCCGTTTGCTTAGAAACGGTGTTACTTTCAATGAGGTGGTCTCTTCACTAAACACAAACGTGGCAAGCGCACCTGAACCAATACACGGCCACTTTGGCAGCCGGCTTCCCGTTCAAGGTTAAAGGGACCTGTCCCAATCGACAAAACTGGACTGGATTTTACTAGACAGCGTGTACTTCTGTAATACCAGCTCCCAATAATGTACACATGCAGTTGTGCTTATCTTGATTAATCAAGTTATCGCTGACACAAGAACATGAAGCCATATGCTCCATACGGATCTGATGTGAAATTTTCTTGTGTGAACACCGGAGTTGTGCCCTCTATCAACCATTTGTTAATTACTGACATGCGTGCCTAATCCAAGATCCTTTACTTCAGTGCTTCACTTCGATAAACATAAGTGGTTTGTGTGTCCCGCTGAAATTGTGATAGTGAAAAAATCAAAACCTATTTTTTTCTTGTGTTTGTTTTTGTTTGTTTTTAGCGATATTTCGCCAAGAAGCCATGAATTAATGTCAAATCAATAAACTGAATATTTTTATCTCCAGAGGAGTCACAATACTTCTCTAAATTTAACCTACTCGGCCAAGTGGATACTTGAAAAGTGAAGGACATGATTGTGTCGCAGCTCGTGAATACAGGGAATTTGTCCAGTTAATTAACATGCTCTTAGTTGTCAAATTACCGGTCAAAAGCTCATGTGGTCCGCGACCTATGGGGCTTTGAAAGACAAAATTCCTCAGGCACCCAAGTGAGACGTTTCTGGTGACCCAAGGGGGCCATGACCGCCCCGTGCAAACAAGGCCCCACTGCGCTGCTCAAGTGATAACATGCAACGGTCCCGAGTCTGTACACGCTTCGCCAGCCTGGCACTTCCCTCGGCCGCCTAGTGAGGCACGGTTCCGGCCCAACTTGTTGCGCGGTTCTAGGCTGTCGTGGATTGTTTAGTGGTTGAAGGAAAAACACGAAAACCGCCCTTTTCCGTGTATCTACTTGCACAAAAGGCTCGCTGTGACTGACAGATGCGGCGAGGCTGGGAGAGCTTGAAATCCATACATTGAAAATTATCATTTATTTCAAGCTGCACACTAAATAAGTTCTGTCCCATCTTGAACTGGGAGCAGAATGCAGTGAGAGAAACTGACAACGTAACTGTAAAAATACATCTAACCATTTCAGATTTCATGAAATAAACTTTTTTGTGCCCGAGAGATATATCACCAGGTTCAATGCGATCGATAATTAATTGATAAGTGGTCATTCACTCAACTCAGTTATCGACCCTCTCCAACAAAGCTACAAGTTTTCACACGAATAACTTGTTTGGTGTTTACCCAGGCCCTACACATCTCTCAACAAGCCCCGTATCATCAAGCGGGCTGACAGGGGAAGATGAAACGCCATTTTGGCGGAGCCAACACGACATGCAAATGCTTGACCCTTTTCAGAATTCAACAAGGATGTTATGATCACCAGGAAGGGAAAATGGAGATTGGATTCCATCTCCCTTCTGTTGGCATGCTCAGATACATCGGAAAATCAGAGAAATCGGCTTGAACGACATTACTAGGCAAGGCACGGTTACCATCCAAAGGAATAGATATAGGTATTTGTGGGAATTATAAACATCCCTCGTTAATGATAATTTTAATCAGGGTGCAGTTTTTGATCATGCGCACTTCAGTTTCGAGATGTACAAAAATTGTTTGGAGCAAAGAGCTGCATTTTTTCATCTCTCGTAAGAGGAGGACTGTTGGGGGGGTCCGTAACTTCATCTTGAACTTTCTCAAGTTCAGGGAAAATTTTATCTAAGCAGAGAGCGGAAGTGATAGACTGTTAGGCTGATAGTATACGGCCGGCAAAATTTGCCAGCGTCCTCCCTTCGCCGAACATCGAAATCAGCTGACGGCTCCAGTTACGCCACCGACACCTCGGGCTCTCCCAAGCGTACGAGAGGAGTAAGACTGGCCTGATCACGGTACCCATTGTGAGGGGCACGGACTGAGCATTATCCGGCCACGGTCAGTCAAATTGTGGGCCGGGGTCGGCCCCGTGTGTCACATTGCTACACGGCCTTGTCACCTGTGCCTGTGACAAGTTTGCATTGTGACTAAATTACTGTGACAAAATCTGGTTCCTTTGTTATTTGTCCTCCATCACTAAACATAATATTCCCAAATGTGTGAGTGGCTACACGAGGTGATAGAGATTTCTTTTGGCTCGGGCTGTGCAATGTGTGCGTGTGTGGACTGGTTGATAACTGTGCGCCGGTCGCTTTTTTGAATGGTCACAATCGAACAGTCAATATTTATGTAGGAATCCTGCTGACAGGCCTTTTGTGTCAACCCTGTGGTTTTTTTTTTATTCCACGGAATGCTTCGAGGCCGGGTGTATAACCGCTTCAACCCTGTAATATTTAAAGCCTCAAGTGACTGATAGTTTTAAATGCAGATCTTGCAAACAGGAAGTAACATTTCTGAAGTTCAAGAGCTCGAGTCGACGGACTTGTGCGCGTGCTCTGTTGCTCCTAAAGAATTAATTGACGGTGTTATTGGTGGCGCTATTCCAAAATTTGATTGTTTATTTAAGTCTTGTAATCAGCCAATTGTGTGTGCGTTGTCCTTAAATAAAGTTGACGCAATTTCCACTCATAATGTCATTTTTTACAAGCACAAAAATGTCGTGCACACGAGCGCAAAAAAGGAAAACCTTGTTATACGAATGGTTTTTTTTGTAAATCTTTCCCACTTTGAAGTACATGGTAGGGTACCTCTGTGTTTTCAACATTCATGTGAAAATGGAAGCGTGTAGCCTTTACAGGAAAAGAATAGTGCAGGGTGGGTTTGTAGCATTTATCATTCTTTCTTTAGCACGGAAATTTTGACACTTTTTCCTTTCAATCTGAAAAAAAATCGAGCTGATGGCTGATTTAGCTGAAAGTTTGCGTTACAATGGAGTATAAACTAGTGAGAAAACGGAAAAATTTATAATCAAAGAGGCCTTTAGGTTTGATGTTTACTTTAAAGCCGGCCCCAGTTCATATCTTCCAAAGATTTAATAACATGGGACCCAATTTATGTAAAACCGTTTCGATGTCAAGTTGCAGTTACGATTTGATCATAAATTTCACGTGAATTTCATGTGGTGTGAATGACCCTACTGCAATATTTCAGTCGCACTTCACTTGCTCCCTGTGGTCATGTACATAGACAAAGTAAAAACAAACAAGTCGTCATGTTTGATGGGAAGGCACTTCGCCGGGAAAAAGAGCGGGGAGAGGGATGTTGTGACATTTTGGCGTGTCAAGTTCGGGGTCTGATGAAGGCACAGAGGTGAGCTCAGAACGATGACACGAGCCACTGTGGAAAGTGATTTTTCAGAGGATCATGTGCAGCACTACGAGCCCCCCCTCCACAGGCCAAGGAAACTTTTATTTTCCAAAATACAATAATAATTTGCTAACTGTCAATCACCACACCGCAGTGCCGCATGGTTTGTTCACTTGAACCGGACCGGCTGATCAACTTGGTGAACAAAAAACCCTCAAGTTGTTACATTTCTTCGTCCGTCATCGAGTACCCGTGACGTCACCGTCGACAGACCACGTGCTTGGATCCGCTCCGGCCAATGGCAGCCACAGATATCGGTGGGGGGGGGGCGCTTGTCAATCACCCAGCGCGTCAATCACCGGGCCTCCATTAGACGGCCGCTGAGTTCTCTGACAAATTAGCCCATGTGTGCCAACAAAAGTTACAGAGGGGGGCCGGGTGACAGACCGTGAAGAAACCGCGAGCTGAATGTATATGAACCCCAAGCTTTTCAAAGAGTATAAACCCAGCCGAGTTCCTCTCGTCTGACGGCCGGGACGAGCTGTTGCTCGGTGTTCGCTGCGAAACCGGAGAAGCTAAGATTTCCGCTTGACCCGGGCCCGAGCCGACGAAAAGCTCCGTCGGGTTACAGGCAGGCGTGGATTACGTCCTCGCCCCGCTAAGTGAGTGGTTTAATGGTACACTCTGCCTTCCTGGCTTCCAAATGCACGGCCAGGCAATGTAGTATATAGCAGCGGTGGTGGTAACACTAACAACTGACTAACGAGCTGCGTATAGACAACGATTCTAATTGGTTCTTCACCTCGACCAATCAGCGACCGGCTGTGTTGCTCATCATCCATTTCTCTCTCTTCGCTTTTCTCTCTGTTTTTTTTCCATCGGGGGATGTTCAGTCATAAATGTGTATTGACTGTAATTGTTCCGTAAACGCTGGCAGGACAAAACAGACAACCTGTATGGGTGGCCGCAGATGAACTTGGAGGTGTCTTTTAGCCCACAATCTGGTTGTGCCAACCCAACAAACATCCAGTCAGTTGAGAGAAGTTCAGACGTCGGTGTAGTTAACAGTAGTCGGTGTGTTGCTCACGCTGTCTACAGCTTACCTGTGTAGACTTACCGTGCCCTACCTTTTTTTCACCGAGACCGAAGTGTTAAAAAAGGAAAAATCAACAGTCATGATGGAGCGACCTGTCATAGACATGCAAACCATGTCTTTACTGCGGGGCCCGCTGACCGAGAAGGGGGCACGGAAGCCGAAGTGCGCCCGCTGCCGCAACCATGGCGTCATCTCCTGGCTGAAGGGACATAAGCGCCACTGTCGTTTCAGGGACTGTCGCTGTCCCAAGTGCAACCTGATCGCTGAGCGACAGCGTGTCATGGCCGCCCAGGTGGCACTCAAGCGCCAGCAGGCAGCGGAGGACGCAATCGCCATGGGGCTGCGGGCTTGCTCTCCCGGCACCGGGGGGAGCTTCGGCATGATGTCGGCCAACGGGCCACTCTTCGGCTCCTCAGACTCTGGGGACGAGCTGTCACCACGACCCATGGATATTGTGGACGAGGACGGCGACCATCAGGATATCACCGGTAAGTGTCAGTTTGCTCGCCTCATCATTATTCTGAGCTTTTGCCTGCAAGAACACTCATGAAAACAATCGGAAAACTTCCCAAATTGAAACCATTTCGGGTTTCTAATTCTATGCTAGATGGCAATTTCTCATTATCCATTTACTTACATTTATATCTTGAGATGCATGTTAAGCAATATTCATACGTTTCTCATTGACGCCTCATCAGGACTTAGACCCGCATTTTCTATGTTACAGAGAATGTGATTCGATTGTGCACAAAGTCGAACCAAAGTATGTCCTTGTTCGTGATGATGTCATCATTACGTATTAGTTAATATTGAAAAAAGCCCAAAACTCTGATACCTGATACTTGCCGATTCCAATGTTGCATTCTTAAGTTGAGAATTTAACATAGTTCATTACATCACCTCAACGTTTTGCAGAATGAATTAACTGAAAATTATGAGCCAGGGTTACTTTACCTATATTCTCTCAATATCGGAGCAATATTTTGTAAAAGAAATGCATAATTGAAAGTATGTCAGAGTTGAAAACATGCAACAGATTTACTTTTTGGTTTTTTTACCCTTTTAATAAATATGTTTATGCTGTGGGACTTTTTGGCCACTTTTTGCGCATTTTTTTCCTTTAAGGTTTACATACTTCGTGTACTAGATTCTGTCAGAAAGTCTGTAACGAGCAACTACAGGCAATAAAATACTTCTTAATCAGTTGGAATTAAAGTTTGTTTTCTACTTCTAAAGTTGGTGTTTTTCTTGTCATTTATATCTGAAAATTTTGGCATAATACCGTCCGGTTTCGTTGTTGTCACAGTCTAGACAACGATACTTCCAACACCCACCGGCTTGTTGGGGTTGTAAGCCGAGGTCTTGGGAAAGTCGTCCCCGATGTAAAGTAGTACGAGGCCCCTCGCTGTGCCGGGCTCTTTTTCTCCCCTGCCTGCCGTGGCGAGGCTCAGTCGGCTCATCGCACCAGCCAGCTATATTCTGCCTCTCTCTCTCTCCCCCCACAGTCGTGTCAATCTCGGGGAGCCGCAGTTTATCGCAGCGACACGCCTGTCGTGATGGCGTTTTAATGGCTTCCTAATTAGGGGCTTATCAGGGGACAGGGTTACACGGGGCTCGGTTTACCCACAACCCTCTCCCTCTCGTGGACCCCAGTCTTTGACAGGGCAATGGGGACAGGCCGCTTGCACCGCCCGGTCCAAGCGACACTCTGTTTCCCCGTTGACACAGCTGCCCTCGACGTTTCTGAACCACTCACGAAACTAGCAACCAAACATCGTGATAATGGTTAACATTCTTATGTTCCATTTTTATTGACTGGAAACGGATCATCCTAACAGATTCGCTGTGTTTCAACTTCAATACTCACACCACGGTGGCTTGAAAGCGTTGTGCATGGATGATATTGATGAATGATCATTTCTCTATTTCATAATACTATTACCATTGGCTTGGGATGGGAATGAAGCTGTAGCAATCCGCTTGTCTTGCCATGGAGGTAGAATCTTGCAACTCCGTCGGGTTCATTGTATCGATTCTTTCAAGAAAAGATAAACCATTTTGTGAAGTTCATTTTTCTTTCTAATACCACCCGTCATGTTCAAGTTGGCAACATTTGTATCCAAATATGGCAGAGCTGCAGTTAGCTTACAAGAAGAATGCATGCCTGCCACGAGGGAATAGTCGTGCCGGAAGGATCGCCCCCACTTAAATGTCAGTAGAAAGAGAATACATTAAAAATAGCATTTCATAATGCACACAACCTGCGCAAAGGCACGGAACAGGCATTGTTTATAGGGACAATCAAAAGGAAAACGTCGTTTGAAATGGAATTATTTTGTACGTCTGTATTATGTAATCAAGATTTGAAACATACTGAGACGATTGAAGTTTAGGTCACATCAGCATTTTTTCCTTTCGACTTTCCTTCGGTTATCAATAAACATTTTAAAGTCTGTAATCCTAAATAATTGCTTGTGTCGATTCGAATGAGCACTCAAACAAAGTGAGATTTTTTTTAAGTAAAATATGTTTAAAGGACTTAAAATATACTAGCAAGACTTTTCAATGAGGAGTGAGGGACCAGTTTAAAGGAAAGGATCACTGCATTCCTCTTTATCAGAAGACATGAAATCAAAAAATTTGACCATTATTATTTGGAGGCGAGGTCTCATGCTAGGTTCCGCTAAAGCGCTGTACCGCTACAGCACACGAAAAGAAAACCAACCCGTGCGCACAGGGACCACTGTCAGTGCAAATAACACGTGTTGCCGTTTTGGACCCGACAGTCGATAATTTCTGCGATGATTGATGATTGACCAAATGTTTTGAAAAAAGTGGGAGGAGAAATCAAACGTTCCAGAGACAAAAGGCGGTGAACTCGGTTACGAAAGGATATGACTAAAGGATACATGGTATTGGTCAGCGGTCAAGAGGTCGCGTGTGGATAGGGGATTATAATGGGTGGTTTTATTTGAGAGTGGGATATTCACCGCCATGTTATGGCCAACCGGGGGCATTTTGTTGGTGTGTGGTGTGTGCTATAGGATTTCCAGCGATAAGTCCCGAAGATCTTTCTCGTGATTGAAATTTATTTATGTTTTAGATGTTTCCATTCTTTTTAAACCCCCCTCCCCGTGGGGGAGCCCATGTCATGATCGTTTTCCAATCACAGAATGTCTCTCAGCTTAGGGACGCGGGCTGGCGGAAGTTACATGTAATGATTGGAATCATAAAAACGGATTTACAAAGGGGAAACTCATGTATTGTCACGCATCACTTTGTCTGACGCGAACAGCACAGACTACATTGTGGGCGCGTCATATATCACGCACAAGAAGTCATATTCCAACTGTTGTCGATGTGTAGTTACACTACCAGCTATCGTAGGTTTCAAATTCGGTGATTTTTGAGTGTCCCAAATAGAGTGTCCTGAATTGTAAAGAGGTAGACATGGGACTTTCAGTGCTACAAAGCATGGTTTGAACAGCAATTATAATGGTAGTCGCTGCTTCATAGTGTTCACGTACACTGGTTAATCAAGTCTGTGGAACTAGCTACAGAAATAAGAGATTTTTATTATTATCACTTTCATTTCGGTTCTTTTATTATGACGAGTGTATCGGGGAGGTCCGTAGCAAACAACTGTTATTGATGTTTAAAGGTTTTCGCTGTGGAAATGCAGTATGTTCAAGCTCGATTTTTTTTTATTATCGGTGTAAATTTCTGCGTAGGGAACATAAGGGAAGGTTTATTTAATTGTACATAAATTACGGGGCAGAATCCCCTTTTTGTCATACTTTGTTTCGTTTGGTTTATCTCATCATCATAATTAGAGATCTGAAGATAAGCCACAGCCCGGCAGGAAAGTTATCTCCTCGGCCGATTCATTCTCTCCATGATGGTATCATGATTGCGCTATATCATTCATTTTGTTGACATGGCAGCTCTGATAATTCCATATTTTTCGATATCCCCGTTTTAATTCCCTTTAAAGGTCCTGGGTCTAAGGAGGGGGGTCTTGGCCATATTTCGGACGAGACTTTGTGTGGTCTTGGTGCAAATGTATTGCTAAGGGCGTCACTGACTTTTCATCTAAACGGTGTCATAATGACGTCACTGGTCTCGGGGTTAAGTTAAGGCCAATTCATACTTCACTCGAAAACGAACACGAACGCGAATTTGTGACGTTAGATCAAATATTTACGATGCGAATTCGTAAAAATTGATCACATTTCAACTAGGGCGAAATTTCGCTGCAAATTTTTCCTGACGTCAAATTCGCTTCGTTTTTGCGGTGGCCTTTAGTATGAACCGGCCTTTAGGCTGCGTGCGTGCGAACGTTTTGTCTACGACTGGAGACTACACGCGCATTAATTGGGAGCCACTAGCAAGCGGCTGTACAGCCATTTCCCATAGACACGTGTACCTCTGCAAGACGCAGCCAGCTGATTCTGACACCGCTTAATTTATGGTTGTTTGTGCGTTAGGATTTCTTGACTGACGTGAGCCTTTAAAGTTGTCACAATCCTTTAAAGTAACATCTGGAACGTCCAGCACTTTTTTCCTTTCACTTTTACTACTGTTTCTATTTGGTTGCATCCTTTCATTTTCCAATAAATGGATTCAATTTACGATTGAAAACGAAAGACTAAGTTTTCCTGGCGCGGGCGTTCGTTTATCAGACTGTGAAATGCCAAGTGGCTTTTGGAGCCGAAAAAAATTCGCTGAATCAAGGCTGAGACAATTTGGAGAGAAATTTTATCCTGTGTGGAAATAAAGCAAACGAACTTCCCACGAGCAAACACAGTGAAACGCACCCACAGCTTCGTGTGAATGAATCATGCTGTCAAATGTGTCAATGCGACAACGTGTATCGTAACGGTTCGTGAACATTTCATTTCGCAGGAAATTCATTTTCTGCTGCCTCCTGAAAACAAATTGTGCACTGGCCCGACTGAAGTATTCTGCCCCGTGGTGTCCTTCAGACCAGTCTTCGATCAAAGAGCGGCGCCATATTTGTCCAAATTGTTTTCCGACTTCAGATGAATTGCCACCCGAGCAATCAGCGTCATCTTGTGACTTCAGTTAACCCCCCCAAAAAACCTTTAAAAATTAAATACGCTAAGAATGAACGTGAACTATATCCTATAAAAGTATACCTCCTCGTAGAATGGTACTTTTAATCTCTTCCGTCTTCCACTTAAAATTCTTAATTCCTCCCTCTCCCCAACAAATTACCCCCTTAAAAGATATTCCTTTAATGAAATAATCAGCCCATTCCTAACTGGAAAAAAATCCTGATTTTTTTCTTTAACTGAAATTGATGTTCGCTTCTGGAGCACAAGTACCACGGGCGGTTGGTACTGAATTTTTTTTTTTGGGGGGGCCGTCTACCATCCTGGGACTAGACGAGATATTGTTACTGCTGGCTTGTTGCATTTCTGCAACACGTGTTGTTTGGCTAGCCGTCGTCATCGCCAGCCGTACC